CAGGTTAAGTGTCTGGAGGAGTTTATGAGCTCAGAAATGGATGCACCTCTGAAAGAATGTAGTGGACTCAGACACGACCCTAAACGTATCGACGCTGTTTTTCAGTCCGTGTTATTTATAGCAATGTTATTTTCTTCATAAAATCTATGTTAGCCATTTAGATATAAAGCGAGAGTCTTTGGGCAGACAGAAGCGCTGCCCATCACGCGAATTCGCGTCTGTTCTGATGTGAATTTGACACGCGAATGAAGCGGTGTTTGACGCGCGAATGAAGCGAGTAAACTCAAATGTTCACGAGGCTATTTACACGCGAATAGCGCGATTTAACCGCGCGTTACGCGTCTGGTGTGAACACAGCATTAGGCAGGGTTAAACAATAAGGATTGCTTTTTCTAATGATCCGGTATTATCATGAGAAATTGTATTTTAGTTTTCATTCCCTGATTGTGAAATTTAATGGGGAATTTGCTATAAAAAGATCTATAAGATGTTGTAAACCAGAGGTGCTCAATCCTGTTCCTGGAGATCTACCTTCCTGTACAGTTTAGCTCCTACCCTGATCAAACCCACCTGAACCAATTAATTAGGACCTGAAATCCACTTGATAATTACAGACAGGTGTGTTTGATAAGGGTTGCAACTGAAATCTGCAGGAAGGTAGATCTCCAGGAACAGGATTGGCCACCCCTATTTTAAAATGTCTCTCTTAAAATACTTAAATATAAAGAACAAAGGTTTTATACATTACAATACAATATTTATTTATAGAGCACATTTAAAAACAACCAAGGTTAACCAAAGTGCTGTACATAGGAGTGCTAAAAACAGAGAAGCAGAATATAAAAGAAACATTTAACAGATAAGAGCAATTAAACAGTGATCAAGGAGTACTAAAAGCGAGAGAAAATAGATAGGTCTTTAAAACAGACTTAAACACAGAGATGGAGGAGGAAAGTGAATCGGTAGACTGTTCCAGAGTTTAGGAGCAGCAACAGCAAACGCTCGATCACTTCGTTTTTTAAGGCGTGTTCCGGGCACGGTGAGTAAGTTGAGATCGTAAGATATATGGTAAGGTATATGGACAAAGCAAGTCAGTAAGGTACTGAGAAGCAAGATTATTGACGACTTTGTAGAAGAATGCAGTGCAGCTAAGATTGGAAAAGTGAATAAAGTTGTTTAATGTATGAGGGCATTAATAAGGATTTTTACAACTAACAAATTTCTGATTTATTAAATTCTTAAATTCAAATTTCAATGATGATAGTCCCTTAGTAACCACTCCAAATATTAAACAACATACTTTGAAACCCTGATAACCTTAGACAATGACTTGACAATATTCCAATCTGTCACAGAAGCAACTGTTCAGATTGAGGCAAAGTTGGTTTTATATTCACACATTCACCTTTTCCCCTTTATATAACTTCAGGAAAGTATTTTTAGCCAATACTAAACAGTAAAATCATATTAGCAGCCAACGGCTATGAAAGTACAACTGTGTTCACAGTCAAATAAACAGTGCTAATGCTGTTTGGAAATCATATTTGCATGTAATTGTAGACAGAATATTCAAAGTAGCATATAGCAGGGGTGTCCAAACACTGTCCCGGAGGACTGGTGTCCAGGTGAATTTAGCTTCAGCCCTAATCAAACACACCTCAACCAGCTAATCAGGCGACCATTTGAAAAATATCACGGTTTTACGGTATCACGGTGTTGTGATCAATGCTCTAAAATATATTCTTTTTAAATGTCTGGGTTAAATACAAAAACTTTTCCCCCCTTTGAACAGAATAGATTTTATTTTGTGAAAGACTTGAAATATTTTAGAGCAGTAAACATGTGAGGCTCAATAATTCACATGAATCATTGACTTCTGCGGTCTTCATTAGTTTTAACACAGATTCTTTATGCTTTAAAACGCCATCTTTGGATATCTTTTCTGATGGAGATACTGTTAAACTAAAAAACAAAAATGTAACTAAAATAAAAATAAAAAAAACTTACTCATACCTTAGGTACAGTATTACAGAAAATTTTGACGGTTTTAAAACCTTGATTTATCCCATGTATAGTTCACACATTTTTACTACTAAAATTCCATGACTTTTCCAGAACTTTCAAGTGCATTTTGATGACGTAATGTTTCATGTAATGTCTACATATACATGGGAAATTAAAAAAAAAAAAAAACAATGACTCCAAATTGATTACAGCAGATCATAGAACAAGCAACAATCTCTTTTGTTTAAATTTGTTTTTATATTGATTCAGATCATGCTTACACAGCACTACTAATGTGAGAGCAAGTTTTTGACCAAGGAAAGAACAAAAGTAAAGACAACTAACCTATATTCAAGTTACGGCTGTACAATATATCGTTTCAGCATTGATATCACAATGTGTGCATCCGCAATAGTCACATTGCAGGATATTGTTGAGATTATGGTTTAATATAGAATTATGGAGTAAAAGTTTATCATCTGCATGCATTTTTTAAAAGATTGTTCACCCAAAAATTACTTAACATTTTCATTAAACCCTTCACTTTTTCAAACATTTACGAGTTCTTTTTTTTTAAATGAACACAAAAAGAATATAATAACTCCTATAGTATTGAAACAAGTGAAGAGTGAGTAAATAGTGAGAACATTTTAATCTTTGAGTAAGCTGTCCCTTTAAGGCCTGTGACTGTGGATTTCAATATTTAGAATTTTAAAACATTTGGCCACAAAAATGTTTTGTAACTTGAATAAAGATTAAATACAATGAAGACTATGAAGTGTTGATTATTTAATATCTGTGCATGGATAAAGAATATGGATGCAACGATAACTGATTTCACTTATTTAACTGCGGTTTAATTCGTCACGGTTAACTAATCGAAAAAGGCTTCTCAACAACGTGTTTCTATATGGAACAAAACCGCTACAACTTAAAGTTATGCCAACTGTACGCTAGAATAAAGTTCCGGGCTTGTAGACAATACGCACGCACATTGGATCAAAGGCTGATTTTACCTAAGGGTCATTCCAACACAATCTCAGAGAAATTCGCAACTTTTTCATTTAGGTGGCTAATTCGTATGAATTCGTAAGATCTAATTCGTACAATTTAGTATGATTTGCTCATGCCCCAATGATGGTTTGGTTTAGGAGTGGGGTTGGTTGCCACGCCTTCTTTGTAAAATCGTACAATTTCGTACAACTGAACTCGTATGAATTCATACGTATTAGCCAATAAACTGATAAAACATAAAATACTTGCGTTTTCTTTTGAGAAATTCACGTATCCCATCTTTTATGCGCACAAATTCGTTATTTCCAATGGAAGCATGTGGTTTGTGTGCATAGTGGTGCCTTTCAGACAAAGGTTCAGCAGTCTTTGACTACATTTGTTCTATTTAAAAGGGAAATACTTAACTAATATGATGCTTAAATTTACAGTTGATAAAAATACTTATTTCCATGTTTCATATTTGAAAGTTTTCATGTGATTTTCTAAACTAGTAGTATATTGAAATGAAAGAACGCATAATAACCGTGATTATTCCTCAGACTATAATCGTACAACCAAAATCTCTAATCGTTGCATCCCTAATAGTGAATACCTGAAAACTATAAGTCACTTTTATCTTTACTAGATTTGATCTGTTAAATATTGTTCCAAGATCACTCCTCTACAAAATCCCCCAATCAATTCAAATAAACCTGTTAAATCATCTGGTGAAATTGTATTCACATCGCAATATAGATCACAGAAATACAAAAAGCCGTAAGGTCAGATTTTTACATTATCGTGCAGCCCTAATTCAAGCATACAGATATTTGTTAAACTAATTTCTATTACTTTTTTTCAAAACTTTGTGGGTTTTTCCGTTTTTCCAAAACTTGTCAAAATTCCATGACTCTTCCAGGTGTTCCATGACAGTATAAACTCTGGGGTCAAAAATTGTTACTTAAGGGATATAAAACCAACTTTACCTCAAGGTTTAAGGTTTATTGAGGTAAATGTTAATTTTACATTAGCACATGTAGAAAATATAATTCATTTCTCAGAGTTATCCTTGATTCTCTATTAGTATATTGTGTGTTTTGCCTCAAGAGATGTTCAATCATTTACCTTACAGTCATTCTTCACCATATATATTTTTATATTCTTTACTGTATATTTTGTATGCTCTGTGAAATTATATGCTAATCAAAACTGGCCTTTGAGGAGATGTATTTTGCACACTAATGAGGCATTTTGCAGAAAGAGCTATGTTGGACAAGAAATATGCAGCCGAAACAATAAAAATAACATGCGTCTCTCGCCTCTGATTTCCTGTGAAAACATATTGGAGCCTATGGAGGTCTCTAAGCATGTGCATTTAACTGGTCCAGTTCTTCTGTGCAGAAAAGAGGAACTAGAGATGTGCAGAAAAGCTGACAGAGACAACCCGCCTTCTCCTTCTTCTGTGTATATAAACTGGGTCTTTAGTCTTAAGAGAACACTCGCAGAGCGCCTGGTGTGTTCTCTTGGATAGCATTGTATAACCAATAGGACACATTTGTGCGACCCAGGGCCCTAATCGAATTATTCATTTGTACTTAATAAATTACTACTATTTTTGAAATTGATCTCCGCGTCCTGAGTTTGTATTGAACACGCATGGAATTGATTATAAATTCCAACACACACTGGTTCAGTGACAACTTGTGACACGCTCCCTATATTGTTTACCATAGTGCTTTGAACATCAGCACTATTTATTTAACCGTGAACCAGGTTGTACTTTGATAGTCACTGGCTGCTAATATGATTTCCCCATTTAGTATTGGCAAAGAATACTCTTCTGGAGGTATATTATCAGGATAAAGTCTGAATGTGTGAGTATAAAACCAATACAAGCCAATACTATTCCATACAGAAGCAAGAGCTTCCCAATACACCTGCAAGAAAACATCCTCAGAAGCACCTGTTCAGACCCTGAAAAACACCTATTTAGAAACACTCACTTGTTCCTCAGCACCTGCCAGGCCGCTTCGATGTCCGCGTACAGGTTCTTCTCGGACGGTTTTCCAGTGCTGACCCCGTAACCCGAGTAATCGTAGGAGAACACGTTGCAGTTGATCCTGGAGCCGAGGCCGATGTAGAAGCTGCACATCTGGCCCAGATCCACGGCGTTCCCGTGGGAGAACAGCAGCGTGTAGCGGCTCGCGGGCGCGCAGCGGACGAACATACAACCGACCCGGTTGCCGCGGCTGGTTCGGGTCACGAGAACTTCCACGGCATCGAGCTCCCGTTGCGAGTACTGCCAGTCAGCGCGCTCGGTGAGGTGCAGGCTAGTCGCGCCGCTCGGGTCCGTGTGGACGGAATATGTGGGTTCGGGCGGCAGAAATGCTAATTTAGCCGCGATGCGACTCGGACAGGGCGGGCAGCAGAAGAGCCAGCACAACTCGCCGAGGGAGAAGCTATTCATTCTCGGGCCTTGCTCGGGCATGGAGAGCGGCTAACACCGGGTTTGAAATCCACAGCGAGCGGCTAATACCCGGAGGAGCAAATACACGGTCGGTTCCGAGGATGCTAATGCGGCGCTAAGTGGTAGTGGTTTAAAGGATAGGTCTTTAGCACTTGTTTTTTGACATCTTAAAATATGTGTAGGTACAATCCGCCAATCGTCCGTCTCGTTCTGGGGTTTGGAAATGTTTAAAAATCGATCATTTGCTCTGCACGTTAAGCGTTCAAGCTAGCCGTTCGTATACAATGTAAGCTGCCATTGCTCCTGCTAAGAATGCCCAAATAGGGGATGTTTTTCCGGTTGAGACGGATATCCGGTTCCTGGTGGATGATGGCGACGTCACGAGGGTTTTTTTTCCCTAGGATGTGCCGCTGGAGACTCAGGATGATGCATTGGCAAAATAATAAAAGCTTGCTTCCTAATTTATCTTATTGAATTAAATAAACTTTTCTAATCATCTCAGCTTACCTCAGATAAACTGACTAAAAATATCAAGCTGACAAAAAAAATGTATCCCAAAAAGTTAAGGTAACTCAAATCGATTTAAGGAAACCAATTTCAACAAACCGTAGTTCAAAAACGAACCCTAATGAGTACTATGAACTTAATCCATATGAGTAAACGAAGCAATTTGAGCACAGTAAACCCAATAAATGAAGAGAACTCAAACCAACTGAGTACTTTAAACCCATTAGAGACAACTCAAACCATTTGAGGAAACCGATTGCATCAAACCGTTTGAGTAAAAAAAAAAAAAAAAAAAAACTAACCCTAATGAGCACTATGAACTTACTCCATTTGAGTAAACAAAGCAATTTGAGCAAAGTAAACCCCACTAAATGAAGACAACTCAAACCAACTGAGTACTACCCAAAACTCAAAAAGTTAAGGCAGTGGTCCTCAAACTTTTTTCATCAAGTACCACCTCAGAAAAAAAATGTCTCTCCAAGTACCACCATAATGAGCAGTATTGAAATACAGTTGCGTAGTAAGCCCAGTAAAGCAGCTACAGCTCTGCACAGTTCAAAAACGTGGTAGATTATTTCCTATTAAGAATATTTATTATTGTCAGCCACTTTAAACATAAATAGTCTGAACGTTAACACTGTAAGCTACTATGCTTATATGTAAAAAATAAATAAATAAATAAATAAATAAAAACGTCAACATTTAAATTAAAATGTGCTTAAGGTAAAAAGAAAAGTGCTTTACTTAAATGTAAAGTATTAACATATAATAGCCAGTTCATCAACACCTGAAAATGTTGCCTGGACCTCAGAAATATAGGCTACATGTCATATAATGAATATTATTATATGTCATATTCATATATAAATCATTTTTGATATGTAGCATGTACATGTGACATATTTGATTCCTCCGCATACCACTAGAAGGAAGCCTGCATACTACTAGTGATACACGCACCACAGTTTAAGAACCACTGAGTTAAGGCAACTCAAACCATTTGAGGAAACCGGTTTCTACAAACTATTTGAGTTAAAAATTGTGAACTTACTTCATTTAAGTTGAAGTAGTGAGGTATTCATTTAACTCATTACTAGGGACAGACAGAATCTGCGGACATTTTCTGCTGAGAAATTTGTAAAAAAATTGCATGTTTATGCTCAATGATTTCAGGACAGTTGGAACCAGTCTGGCCATTTTCCTCTGACCTCTGGCATCAACAAGGCATTTGCACTCACAGAACTGCCGCTCACCAGGACCAGCTCATCTAGCACTAACAACCATGCTACTTAAATCACCTTTCTTCCCCATTCTGATGCTCGATTTGAATTGCAGCAGATCATCTCGACCATGTGATTGGCTGATTAGAAATTTGCGTTAATGTGCAGTTGGACAGGTCTACATATATATATATATATATATATATATATATATATATATATATATATATATATATATATATATATATATATATACACATACACATAATATTTTACTAGTTATTGTACAAGATACAAGCATTCTTAAACTTAAAATCTAGCCAATAAAAAAAATCTTAAGTGGACTGATAATATTGACCCTAAAAATTGAATTAAAATGCTTATATATATATATATATATATATATATATATATATATATATATATATATATATATATATATATATATATATATATATATATATATAAGCATTTATATTCAATTTTTAATTAAATTATTATTAAAATAATCAATATTATCCTCTGTCAATATTATCAGTCCACTGAAATTTTTTTTTATTTTTTTATTGGCTACATTTTAAGTTGTTAAGAATGCTTGTATCTTGTACAATAACAAGTAAAATATTATGTACTGACATCATAGAAAAGACTAAAGAACTTCAATATTATAACTATTAAAAATGTGTTGAAACAAATACTCTCTCAGCAAATATTTGAAAAAGAATAGACATTTCACAAAAGAGCTAATAATATTAGTTCAACCTAGTTCAAAGTATACAGTGTTTATAATAGTTAACATTTATATATGTACCCACATATTGACTTTGCATGAGAATGAAAAGAAAATAGGACAGCAAACCCAGAGGTTTCAGCGTTTCACTTCACATTCAGAGTGTTGCACATTCCCCGAGACATTTCAAAACTTTGGAGTTTTTCATTAATCAGATTTCAGTGGGAAAATTCAGTCATAATGTGACAGAAATGTACAACTGTACAACACTTTGAAGACATTTTTGGCTCATAAACATCCGAATATTACTCATGGGACGGTCCTAAATGGAACGGGGAAGAGAGAGAGAGAGAGAAAGAGAGGAGCTGGCTTAGCATTCCTTATATTCTCACCTAATCAGTGAAAAGCATATGGAGTCCAGGGTGGAATGGATTTATCATACCCTAGAGGATGAAGCACATTTCCTAGATAGTAATAATGTGCTCGTTGGATGTAGAAATGCACTGTGGGACCTGCTCAGAAGAAGTGTGGATGCATGGGAAATGCACTGGGTGCTGATTGCCCTGGCACCATCTGCGTTTTATATTCTCAAGCAGATAAGGTGCTCCCATTTTTTACTGTGCATAACTTTTATTATTTATGGAAGAAAAAAATAGGTAGGTCAAAAGAGCAGGAGCATGACTTCACCCCGCATGCTGTATCTACATCACCATATGCACCACGTCATGTTATCAAGGCAGCGAAGGAATTAAGAAGCTTTAAAACCTGATCGAGGTTATTTAAAAGACTCCCTGTGGTGAAAAATCAAGTTTTTACATTATTTACATATCTATCTGTTTCTTTTTTCGCCTTAAGATGTGCGCATTCATCAGTCAACACCATTGCCGAGCATTTTTATCTCTAAATTGCATGCTATTGAGGACACAGTCGACAAAAGTGTTTGGAAATGCCTTGATTTATTACACCACAAACATGTAACCAATCCAGCCCATTAGCTTGTATTTTGAGGCTTTCCATAATGCCTTTAAACCCTGGTAGTCAGACAGTAACTTTAATTCAATTCAATTCAATTCAGCTTTATTTGTATAGCGCTTTTACAATGTAGATTGTGTCAAAGCAGCTTCACATAAATGGTCATAGTAACTGGAACAGTGTGGTTCAGGTTTTAGTGTTTAAGTTCAGTACAGTTCAGTTTAGCTCAGTTCAGTGTGATTTAATCATTACTGAGAGTTCAAACACTGAAGAGCAAATTCATCGATGCGTAGCTCAACCAATCCTGAACCATGCGAGCCAGAGGCGACAGCGGAGAGGGAAAAAAACTTCACCTGATGGGAGTGAAGAAAAAAAACCTAGAGAGAACCAGACTCAGTTGGGCACGACCATTTTAAATTCTCCGCTGGCCAAAAGTCTTGTGCAGAGCTTTAGTCACCGCGGTGGAGGCTGGAAGATGGCCTCAGCGAAGACTCGTCTGTCCCTGGAGCGTTGCTGGAATCAGACACATGTTCTCCACTCCCCATGACCATCAGCTCAGGATATGGCCTGGTCCCGGATATGGAAACCTTTAAAGTCCTCGTGAAATTAAAATGAAAGTTTGTTTAGGTGTTGATAACAATATGATAGCCTTAAGGTCATCTATATGCTAGGGTGCAGCAAAACAGTGACAATTCCTGAAGATATAAATATTTAAATCTTTAGGTTTGTCAAGGCAGTAAAGAAGTCAAGAAGCCTTAAACCCTGATTGAGATAATTTAAAAGACTTCCTGTCGTGAAAATCAAGTTTGCATTATTTACTTATCTATCTGTTGCTTTTTTTGCCCTAAGATGAGCATTTTCATCCCTAAAATTGCATCCTATTGAGGACACAGTCGACAAAAGTGTTTGGATATGCCTTGATTTATTACACCACAAACAAGTAACCAATCCAGCCCATTAGCTTGTATTTTGAGGGTTTACATAATAGGTGCGTTCGACATGAAGCTCAGCTGCAGCCGGTGATCAACGAGATTAGCCGAGCGCAGGCGGGGGCGGAGTTGAAAACGGAGCCGTCAAGACGGACAGCTGGACACTTCGGGACTCAAAGTTGCTGCAGTCATGATGACCGATCACATGGCGTCATCATATTTTTTTGTTATTTTTATTTATAACAGCAAAACATTTACAAATAAAACAGAATACAGTTTCTACAAACTGTAATTCCTTTTTAAACAATAAGAGAGAATTATGAATAAAATATATAACAAATGCATGAGAGAAATAAGAGGAAATGAGAGGTTAATATAAACATAAAAACGAACAGGTCTATTAAATACAAAGCAATAAGCATAAATTCTAGGAGTTAAACATCAATCTTTAGGCTAATACTTCTTGTTTAAATATGCTAAAAAAGGGTTTACATATATGTACATTTATAGATATAAAAAATTCCAATGTAAAAAGCAAAACAAGGTGTTTTGATTAGGTCTTAATAAATGACATTATTTTGGATAATGAATGAATTTTCAAAAAAGCATTTTAATCCAAAAAGATTGTGTTGAAAAGAACAAAAAGTAAAATAAGTGAGCTATGTAGAAGTTTTCTAGAAAGAGCAAGTAGTCTATAAACTGCTAGACAGGAAATAAAATAGATATTTATATTATAATAATAAAACCATTTTATAATTATTAAATAAAATAGTTCATGGAGATGAATGCAGTAAATAGTCTGTATAAAAAAAAGTTAAAAATAAACCTGCGCAAACAAGCTAACCTTTATAACCAGATTATTTAACAAAAGATGATTACTGCAGTAAAATATTTGTAGTCTTTTAATAAGCAAGATGTGTACAGGATAGAGAGGG